AATTCCCCAGCCAGAATTCTGGGAGTTGAAGTCCACACATCTTCAAGCTGCCAAGGTTGAGGAACACTGCTCTAGTGTATGTCTATGCTTCCTTGCCCTGCACCCTAGAGTGGGAGAGAGGTCTTCTGAGTGATCTCCTGCCAGGTATTTGAAGAGGGCTGTCTGATCCCCCTTCAGTCTTCTCAGGGGTCCACAGTCCCAGCTCCTTGTAGGACTGACTTTTAGACCTCTGGTCATCCTTTTTGCCCTTCCCTGAACCCATTCCAGGTTCTGCTGAGCTGGTTTAGTTTTAACCTGGGTGAAATGTTTTTGTGTGCCTTGCGTAAATTCAGCTTGTATAGTTAGTATTTTTTTATCAGTCTATTTATTTGCTTATGTCTTATGTCTTACTCAGTTCCAAAAACTCCTGGCGGCTAACTTCCAAATAAAAACGCATTAAGTGAAAATAATCATCATAATATAAAAATGCCTGTGAATGATAATATCAAACAAGAAATAGCAGAGTATCTGCAAGCCTTTTAAAAAGTCCATATTCATGATGCCCAAATGATTGGAGGGGCGGGGCGTATGAATTTCAGAAGGGAAAAAGGGTCCACCCCTCATCTGTCGGGGAGGGGAGTCCTGAGCGTCCCTTCATGAACAGGAAAGGTAAGGTCACCTTGGGAGGAGATCATGTCACTAGCTTGGAGCTAAGCCACGTAGGGTTTTACAGGTGATAACCAGCACCTTAAACTCCACCTGGAAATAAATCAGTAACCAATGCTGCACCCATAATATTGATGTAGCACTGCAGCAGTGCCGTTCACCTGCCAGTATATGGGCTGCTGTGCTTTGCACCAGCTTAAATTTCCAAATAGTCTTCAAGGGCAGTCCCCCAAAGAGTATGTTGCAGTAGTCTAACTGTGAAGTAATAAGAGCGTGAGGGGCTGTTGCTATGGCTTCCTGTTCTAGAAAGGGCTGCAACCTGGGAGAATGCCATCCTGGAGTGGCCAAGGGCTTAAATATTCCTTTCTCCTTAAAAATCAGCTGGAACCACCCACTTGGGAAGGACTGGACCCGTTGGAGACCAGGTGGAAGTTGTTTAGCATGGCTGGATTGAGAGACAGCCTGTTCAAGTGGGGGAGCACCCCGCTTCTCAATCTCCCCACCCATTCACCCTACTCTGCTGCCTGGAGGAGCCAGTGGGACAAGGACCCACCCCACAGGTGCCTTCACGCTGTGAGGAACCCTGTCGTCTTCGCCCGAGTCCAGCAGTTCCCAAGAACCCAGGTCCTCTCTCAAGACACCTCCCTTGACAAGAGCTCAACAAAGGGCTTCTAGTTGATGTATATCATAAAACTGTGTAAACTGTATGCATTTAAGTTTCCATGTATCATGCCAGCCCTGAAAATGGGTTCCTTCAGTGACCAGGTTAAGAGGGTTGAGCAAACGTAGCCTTCATGTGTCCTGGGAAACCTAGCTGACTCTCCTCTGCTGTCCCCTCCCTCAGTTTGGCTTAAGAAGAGATGAGTTTGAAGACTTGGTGGGCCAGGAGGGGAGACATCTAGGATTCTGCTGAATGTCAGGGAATTCAAAGACAGTTATAAGCTTGGCTACTGATTTTTCTGTTTTTAACATGATCAGAAAACAAGAGATGGCTCTCCAGCCTCCATTTGAACCCATCCAGAGAGGGGAGCACCCCCCCCCCCATTACTGGTCCTGCTGAAAACATGATCAAAAAACAAGAGATGGCCTCCCAGCCGCCATTTGAACCCATCCAGAGGGGGGAGCACCCCCCCCCCCATTACTGGTCCTGCTGAAAACATGATCAAAAAACAAGAGATGGCCTCCCAGCCGCCATTTGAACCCATCCAGAGGGGGGAGCACCCCCCCCCCCATTACTGGTCCTGCTGAAAACATGATCAAAAAACAAGAGATGGCCTCCCAGCCGCCATTTGAACCCATCCAGAGGGGGGAGCACCCCCCCCCCCATTACTGGTCCTGCTGAAAACATGATCAAAAAACAAGAGAAAGCATATTCTATACTTTTAGCTGTTTCTGTCTTTGGAGGGGAAAAAGTCCTGACATTCCTCCAGCTGCAAA